ATTCCTCCCCCCACTGACACCAACGATGGGGCACAATTCCTCCCCCCACTGACACCAAGGATGGGGCACTATTCCTCCCCCCCACTGACACCAAGGATGGGGCACTATTCCTCCCCCCACTGACACAAAGGATGGGGCACTATTCCTCCCCCCACTGACACCTATGATGGGGCACTATTCCCCCCACTGACACCAATGATGGGGCACTATTCCCCCCACTGACACCTATGATGGGGCACTATTCCTCCCCCCACTGACACCAATGATGGGGCACTATTCCTCCTCCCACTGACACCAATGATGGGGCACTATTCCTCCCACTGACACCAATGATGAGGCACTATTCCTCCCACTGATACCGATGATGAGGCACTATTCCTCCCACTGACACCGATGATGGGGCACTATTCCTCCCACTGACACCGATGATGGGGCACTATTCCTCCCACTGACACCGATGATGGGGCACTATTCCTCCCACTGATACCGATGAAGGGGCACTATTCCTCCCACTGATACCGATGACGAGGCACTATTCCTCACACTGATACCGATGACGAGGCACTATTCCTCCCACTGACACCAATGACGGGGCACTATTCCTCCCACTGATACCAATGATGGGGCACTATTCCTCCCACTGACACCAATGACGGGGCACTATTCCTCCCACTGATACCAATGATGGGGCACTATTCCTCCCACTGATACCAATGATGAGGCACTATTCCCCCCACTGACACCAATGATGGGGCACTATTCCTCCCCCCACTGACACCAATGATGGGGCACTATTCCTGCTCCCACTGACACCTATGATGGGGCACTATTCCTCCTCCCACTGACACCTATGATGGGGCACTATTCCTCCCACTGATACCGATGATGGGACACTATTCCTCCCACTGATACCAATGATGGGACACTATTCCTCCCACTGACACCGATGATGGGGCACTATTCCTCCCACTGACACCGATGATGGGGCACTATTCCTCCCACTGACACCAATGATGGGGCACTATTCCTCCCACTGACACCGATGATGGGGCACTATTCCTCCCACTGACACCGATGATGGAGCACTATTCCTCCCACTGACACCGATGACGGGGCACTATTCCTCCCACTGACACCAATGACGGGGCACGATTCCTCCCACTGACACCAATGAAGGGGGCACTATTCCTCCCACCACAATGATGGAGCACAATCCTCCCATGGAGCACTATTCCTCCCACTGACACCAATGATGGGGCACTATTCCTCCCACTGACACCAATGACGGGGCACTATTCCTCCCACTGACACCAATGACGGGGCACTATTCCTCCCACTGATACCAATGATGGGGCACTATTCCTCCCAATGACACCAATGACGTGGCACTATTCCTCCTACTGCAAAATTACAGTTATGAAGTAGCAACGAAAATAATTTTATGGTTGGGGGTCACCACAACATGAGGAACTGTATTAAGGGGTCGCGGCGCTAGAAAGGTTGAGAACCACTGATCTAAAGGAAGGGGTAGAGGATAAAAAAAGGTGATAGCTGCGGGGGGGGAAATCTGGTGGAGGTGATTCAAGTACAGTTCTTAGGTGGAGGTGGGGTAGGCTTCCCTGAATAAGTTAGTTTTCAAAGATCAACAGACAGGGTGGGGGCTGACAGGACATACTGTGGTAGGGAGTTCCAGAGGATGGGAGAGGCTCTGGAGAAGTCCTGGAGGCGAGCGTGGGAGGAGGTGATGAGGGAGCTAGAGAGGAGGAGTGGAGCGGGCGATTTGGGCGGTATCTGTGGATGAGGTTGGCGATGTAGCTAGGGGCAGTGTTGTGGATGGCTTTGTAGTCCTTTTCCCTCACTTTTACCTGTGATCCTGCCAGTAACAACTCTTGCCCTAGAACAGGACTACAGAACGCCTCCTGTCTCCTTATCTTCATTACATAGCGGGGCATTAGAGCTCACAGAAGATAAGCAAAGCAGAACTTAAAGTAGAACTAACGGCAAAATGTTTTTCTTTCCATTTTGCATAGAGCAAGGGAGGGTTATAAACCCCGTCAGATTTTTTTTTTTTTTTTTTTTCGCCATCTGTGTCACATTGTGGAGATTTCCCTTTACTTCCTGTCCTACAGCCAAACATTTGACTGCCGTGATTCACTGTCACGGCGGTCACATGATCGGAAAAGGTCCCGATCGCAAGGGGAGATTGGGACCTTTCCATGAGTCACGGACATATGTGATGGGAGCACGCAGGGCACGCGCTCTCAGCACATGTGTATTTTCAAACGGTACGCAAATATGCAGCCGATCGGCGTCAAGGCCGAGAGGCCGCATATTTGCGTGTGCTCGGCGTCTAGGGGTTAAGAAACTAGCAATGTTTGGAGATTTCAGTTCACTACACAAGAAGTCATAAGTATACTGCATCGCTGGCAGAATCAACAGATATTTATATATACTTACAGAAAATATTTTTAGCCAGAAAAAAGAAAAAAGAAAAATGCGGGCGGACTCCACATCTAAAGACTGGAGAGCTGCAATGGATTACATCTTTGTTCTTGGCTTTGGATATTCAATTTCTGCCAACAGTTATGTATTACAAGAGTGACCTGAGGAGGAAGAAGCGGAGTGGATTGTTTCGGTCAGGCTTCTAGTATATTTTGGTAGATCGAACTAAATTGAATGCATGTGGCTTAAAGGATATCTTCACCTTTGGAACATGTTACATGTTCCACCCGTTTTTAGGGTGGAGCATGTAACATGTTTCCATAGCCGCAGGCAGCCCCCCCCCGACAAAGTACGGAGAGAAGTCTCCAACCTACTATCTGTCAGATGTGCAAACGGCGTGGCTGCTTGGGGCTCCTCCCACACAGCCACATCATTCATTCTCAGAGTTCTGTGACTGAGTGCCTACAAGTCCCAGCAGCCTTAGCTGCCATGGGCTTGTAGCTTTCAGTGGACTACCACAGCACTTTGGGGCACCATGGTAGTTCATTGAAGCTTCCTGTCAGAATATCTGCTTGCTTGTACAGCCTGTCTGCCGGCGACCTGCATGGCATCAGCAATCTACTGATCGCCGCTGCAATGATTTCCAGGCTTCTTTGGACAAAAATACTAAATACACATTTTTTTACCTCCAAAAAAGTGTGCATTTATTATTTTTGTCCAAAAGGTGAACTTCTCCTTTAACCCCTTCATGCCGACGTAACACAAATATGCGGCTTCACAGAACTGGGCTTTTTTCCGTGGGGGCCGCATATTTGTGTACCTGTCTTTCTGCTGGGAGCGCACCGTACAGTGCACTCCCAGCACAAGACCGCAGTGTCACAGAGAGCCCCGGTTCTAACGATCGGGATATGGGACTACCAATTCTGCGTCACATGAACACTGTGATAGCCTCTGATTGGCTATCACAATGATCAGTCACTGTACAGCCCGGCCCCCTTGTGTTTTGTTTTTTCTATCTCTATGAATGGAGGAGAGAGATACAGTGTATCATTATATATATTCTGTTATACATTGTATCATTATATACATTCTGTTATACATTGTATCATTATATACATTCTGTTATACATTGTATCATTATATACATTGTATCATTATACATTGTATCATTATTATACATCCTATTATACATTGTATCATTATATACATCTATTATACATTGTATCATTATATACATTCCTATTATACGTTGTATCATTATATACATTCCATTATACATTGTATCATTATATTCATTCTGTTATACATTGTATCATTATATACATTCCATTTATACATTGTATCCTTATATACATTCTGTTATACATTGTATCATTATATACATTTGTTATACATTGTATCCTTATATACATTCTGTTATACATTGTATCATTATATACATTCTGTTATACATTGTATCATTATATACATTGTATCATTATATACATCCTATTCTACATTGTATCATTATATACATCCCATTATACATTGTATCATTATATACATTCCATTATACATTGTGTCATTATATTCATTCTGTTATACATTGTATCATTATATACATTCCATTATACATTGTATCATTATATTCATTCTGTTATACATTGTATCCTTATATACATTCTGTTATACATTGTATCCTTATATACATTCTGTTTTATACATTGTATCATATACATCCTATTATACATTGTATCATTATATACATCCTATTATACATTGTATCATTATATACATTCCATTATACATTGTGTATTCTGTTTTTTGTTCATTATACATTTCCATTATACATTGTATCATTATATACATTCCTATTATACATTGTATCATTATATACATCCTGTTATACATTGTATCATTATATACATCCTATTATGCATATCATTATAGACATCCTGTTATACATTGTATCATTATAGACATCCTGTTATACATTGTATCATTATATACATTCCATTATACATTGTATCATTATAGACATCCCGTTATACATTGTATCATTATAGACATCCCGTATTATACATTGTATCATTATATACATCCCATTATACATTGTATCATTATATACATCCTATTTATACATTGTATCATTATATACATCCTGTTATACATTGTATCATTATATACATCCTGTTATACATTGTATCATTATAGACATCCTATTTTACATTGACATTATAGACATCCTATTCTACATTGTATCATTATAGACATCCTATTCTACATTGTATCATTATATACATCCTGTTATACATTATATCATTATATACATCCTGTTATACATTGTATCATTATATACATTCCATTATACATTGTATCTCTCTAACTCCTGGCATAGAGGGGAAAAAATGTTTGTAAAAAAGATAAATATTAAAAAATAAAATAGAAAATAAACCTAGATCAAGGTGTGATCTAGTTCAGGGTCTTGGATCCAGGTCAGGGTCAAAAGGTCTGGGTCAAAGGTCAGGATTAAAAAAAAATAGTGTCGTGTTTTAGGTAAAAAAAAAAAAAAATGCGCACTCTTGTTTCTGGGCTGTACTACGGGTACAAACAACAAATAACATACACATCTATGATATGGCTGTGATCACCAAGAGCTGGAAAATTTATTTTTGGGTTGTTCTTTGGTGGTAGGTTATAGTAGTAACAAAAAACACACAGCTAAATTTTTAAAAAATTATTATTTTTTTTTTTTTTTTTACTATTTTGGGCCAGTTTTCCTTTGATAATAAAAAAAAAAAAATCAGGAGATATCCATTGCCATTTACCACCAAATTAAAGCCAAATTTGTCCTGAAAGAAACGCGGTATAATCCACCTGGATGTACAAAGTAGTTGTGATGATATGTACGGTTTCACTAGCACATGTTGCAAAATTGTGCTTAGGCATTAACATTTGTTTTACTTTTAGGCGGGAAGGGGTTAAGGAGTGAGAACCACCCACAGATATAGGGGAGTTTGTTGGTTATGTTGTATTAAAAAAACATATAGGGAACTTTAAATGTAGCAGTGAAGCAAAACCAAAAGAAATCTATTTTTAAAAAAATCTAAATTTTTATTAATACATCAAGTAAGGGCTTGTTCACTAGCAATTGGGAGTGATAAAACCACACAGTTGAGCTTCCCTTTTACCAACCCCCAACCACTCCCCCTTTAGCTACAGAGGCGGCATCTGGTGGTGTACACATGTCGTGGCCGTGATAGTTTGCTTCGCAGGCTACGGCAGGCAACTATATCCCCTGTCACATTCAGAGGGCATGGCAGCCACCTAACCCG